GAACTGGACAACCAAATGACCTATCATGTCAGGAATGACAAATTGAAAAGAAAAGGTAATGCATTGCCAAAAAAATGTATTTCAAGATCCATCCTAAAGTATAATATTGTCAACGAGGAAGGCCAATTAATATGACGCTTACTTGAGACCAACTACTAATGCCAAAGATGAACACCAAAAGATGTTTACCAACTTTTATTGTCTGATATTGATCAAACTTGTCATCAAGATGCAACTGACGATCGCTGGTGACTGGAACGGGAAAACTGGAAACCAAGGAGGAGGATCAGCAGTTGGAAAATACTGTCTTTGTGACAGAAATGGTGCTGGGAATCTCACAACAGAAATTTGTAAAGCCAGTTTATTGGAGATACCTTTTTTCAACATTAGCTTGACTACACACAAGGACCTGGCTGGATAGACACGTAGGAATCAGATGACTGACTACATCTAGTGTGCAAATCTGTAGTCAGACAACCAAAAGGGAAGAGCACGCCTGTCATTCCTCAAAGTGAAAAAAACTGAAGGAAAAAAAAGTCAAGCTGTAAGTAGCAATACTGAAGGTTCCACTGAACCACACAGGAAGCAGCAAACGCTGGAGTGAATATACAGAGTCAACGTACCAATATTCACTCATGGGATGAACGGCAAGTCAGGATGACACCTCAGAATCCTTCCTTTTATTTTACACCTGACTTTCCCGGGGAAAAGAGTGCTGTCAACAGAAGTATAGAACTAATGAAAAATATTTATATTTGTCTCTGCATATATATCCAAAGCATAGTAAACTTTAAAATTAGATCTTTATCACTAATAACAAATATAAATTTCTAAAAATTTTAATACCAAGTCAGTGAATCTGCCTCACTTTAAAAGTTACTAAAAATTGGTAGGAAAAAGGTGAACAGGTATAATAATGGCCTCAAAAAGTTCATGGAAAATTTCTATTATTCAATTCCATCTCTGCACTATTTGAAACTCATTGTAGTTCACAGAAAAAGAAATATAAATCACCCCTATACCTAATGAAAGATACATAATTTCAATCATAATAGAAATTCAAATTAAAACTACACTGGAAAATATCAAACAAAAGCAATGTGCAGTCCTCTTTTACATAAGCGTTTGTACAAACCAACTGTAAAAAGGAAACTAAGATGACTGGGGAGATTTGAAAGCTAGTTATTACTAATATCATATTAAGGGCCTTATTTTCTTGGTGGGATAACAGAATTTTTAGTTAAGAAGATACACACTGAAGTATTTATAGATGAAAGAATTCAGCATAACTGAAAGAAAGCACAAGAGGAATCATGGAGCACAGGTCACACAGTAGGATAGTGGAATTTTTAGTTAAGAAGCTACACACTGGAGTATTTATAGATGAACGTATGGCAAAGACTGCAGCATAACTGAAAGAAAGAAGAACAGGAATCAAGGAGCGTAGGTAATACAACACTGGACATGTACTGAGAGGAGCTGGAGTTAAGGGTGGGTATGTAGAAGTTCATTTCCATGACTTTTTCTTTCTTTTTGAACTTTTATAAGGAGTCTGATAGTGTAGTGGGTTATGCGTTGGGATGCTATAAGTAATAAATGTTTTGATCAAGGTTTATAAATGAATCCTGGTAAAAAAGGAGAAAATGCAAAACAGAATTCAACATTCTCATTGACTCCAGACTTTCTTGACCCACAAAGGCTAAAAAAAATCCCTGAAACTACTGCCCTGAGATAATTTTTAAACCTTAAATCAAGAATATCAACGGAAAACTCCAAACTCACTGTTACCAAGTCGATTTCGACTCATAGCAATCATATAGGGCAGAGTAGAATTGCTCCTGTGGGTTTCCAAAGCTGTAAAATTTTTTTTTCAAAGCTGTAAATCTTTACGGGAGTAGAAAGCCGCATTTTCTCTTGAGAAGTCGCTAGCAAGTTTGAATTGGTGACCTTGTGGTTTAGGAGCCCTGCTATTCTGAGAGACTAGGTCCTGGAAAAAGATATGCTTGGTGAAGTTCTGGGTAGCCAGGCATTATCCAGTTCTGTTTCATGGCAAAGGAAGCTGTTGTTCATGGAGTTAGCCACCTATTCCATTACTTTCTCCTCTTCCTGATCTATTCCTCTGTTGCTACAAGCAAAGAGATATCAATTAGGCCTTGGATGGCTTTTCAGACTTCAGACACTATGAGTTTCAGTTTCAGATATGCTGAGTGTGGTCTTCCTCTGTGGTTTCCTAGGGCTGGGTACATTTCATTATAACATTTATGTTCTCTCGAGCTGCCCTTTGAAATTTTCTGTTCAGCTCTTTGACTTCATCATTTCTTTCATTTGTCTAAACTAGTCTACGATGAAGAGGTTTCTGAGTCTTTTTTGGCATCCACTCTGATCTTTTCTTTCCCATTTTTTAATGACCTTTTGGTCTCTTTATGAACGATATTCATGATGTCCTTCACAGGTCATAAGTGTCATCAGATCTCTGTCATCAATTTTTCAAATCTGTTCTTGAAGTATTATTGAAATTCTGGCAGGATAGATTCAAGGGTGCTGAGTTAGTCTGGGTAAACCAGGGAAACAAATCCAGGGAGACTCATATGTGTATAAGAAAGAGCTTTATATACAATAGTAATTGAACATTGAGGAAACATCCCAGTCCAGTCCAGATCAAATCCATAAGTCTGATATTAGCCCATTATGTCCGATACCAATCATATAAATTCATCTTCAGACTCACGCAACACATGCAATAACACCAAATGCAGGAAGATCACAGGCCAGTGGGTGGAAAGTCTTGCAGATCCAGTGGTGGTAGAGGCATCTCAACGCTGGCAGGGGTCTCCACATGGCTCCTTCAGCTCCAGGGCTCTAACATAGCTCCGTGTGTGTCTTGTCTGCAAGCATGTCTTACAGGGAGTGAGCCTGTGACCCACCTCCAGTGAGCTCTTCATCTCCTTAGCACCTCCAAATGAGGTCATCAAGCTGTGACCTGAATGACAGGCTAAACCCCACCCCTTCACGCTTAAATCTCAAATTGACAACAGATTATGTAACTACCACAGTTGCATTTTGGCTCCTGTAGACTAGTTCTAATTTTCTTCAGCTTCAACCTGAAGTTGCATATTGATGTTCTGCTCCACAGTTGGTTCCTGGCCTGGTTTTAACTGCTGATATTGTATTATACCACAGATGTACTCAATTTGATTTTTGTGTATTCCATATAGAGGCCCATGGGAATAGTTTCTGTTAGTGTGTTGAAGTAAGATATCTGCGATGAACAAGATGTTGGTCTCACAAAATTCTATGATGTAATCTCCAGCTTCATTTTTATCACCAAAATATTTACCATCTATTGTTCCTTCCCGTTTCCAATTTTTGCATTTTAACTGGCAACAACTACCAATGCATCTTTATTACATGTTTGATAAATTTCAGACTGAAGACATTGGTAGAAGTCCTCCGTTTCTCCATCGCTAGCTTTCATGGTTGGTGCATAAGTCTGAATAACAGTTGCCCCGTTCGGATTTCCTTGAATGTGGATAGATATAATCCTATCAGAAACAGCACTATACTTCAAGATAAGACCTTGAAATGTCCCTTTTGGACAAATTGTGGAAGAATGATTTCCAACTTTTCAGAAGAAACCCCCCCTCCCCCCAGTTTTGAGTATTAACCTCAGCTATGAGTCTAAAAGCTGTAAGGTGGAAACTTAGAACTTTTTAAAGATTAATCAATTAAGTTTTCTTATATTTGTTATTTTGGTTATAACCCTTCTTTTGCCTCTCAGAGATCAGCCATAAAAAACATAAAGGGGAAAATAAAAGGTAATCAGTATGTGAAAGCTCTGTTAAAATTTTTCTATAGCTTAGGATGGTCCATAGCAGGCAATAATAATAATACTCACACACACAAGGAGGCTTAAAACACTGCTGGAAAATTAAGTTGAAAGATAATAAAAAGCTCTCTTGTATACGCCTTAAGATGTGCCACATTATTCCAAATGTTTTCTATATGTCAACCAATTTAATATAATATTAGGTATTACCTGCATCACTTTATACAGGAGAAAACAGACACTGTAAAGTTATATATGAGTTACTCTTTCTATTCAAGTGGCTGAGATGGCTTTCAAGCACTAGCTATTGAAATCCAACATTTGCGACCCTAACCACTGCAACACATGGCCTCTTTCTCAACACAGGACTACTTTCATAGATTACTATTCACTGGAAGTAAGCAGTCTAGGTTAAAGTTTTAGACTTAATCTTAAATACAAGGGATGATGAAAATGTCCTAAGCATAGGACTTAAGAGTTTCTACGGTATGAACCTATCTATCTTTCTGACATCATGCCCTAGCCACACCCCTCTGTTAATAAGCTCTCAGTGCCTTCCCCAATCCCTCTATTACAGTTTACTTACCAAACTCTAAAGTCTTTGGATAAAACTCAGTTATCTCCAAACTTGCTATTTCTTTCCTCAGATCATTTCCTCTCTTTCTACCCACATTATTTAGTCGTAATACAAATGTAAAGCCTGGCCTGACAGCAAACCAGAGACACAAAGATACACACTTGGTTTTCCCTTTATGCTTCTAGATAGCATACTACATTACAATTCTAGACTGGAAATTATCTTAAAACAAGGACTATAGGGAGAGGGAGGGGGGAAATGATGAGCTGATACCAAGGGCTCAAGTAGAAAGCAAGTTTGAGACTGATGATGGCAAAAAATGTACAAATGTACTTGACACAATGGATGAATGTATGAATTGTGATAAGAGTTATACGAGCCCCCAATAAAATTATTTTTAAAAAAGGTTTGTATGTATTCATAAGGTTAGGCACACAGTTAATGACTTCAACTTAATGTTCAGATCTGAATTTCAGGTCATTCTTTCCTTCTATAAAGAAACCAAACTATTATACCAAATTAATTATTACTAAAATAGTCTCAACAAAATACAATATGACTATGTCTCAAATTAGTATTTGAAAAAAAGATTTTTACCTTGAACTTCTTTATCATGGTACTCCTTTAGTTTTGCCCAAAGCTCCTTAAAATCACTAGATATATCTGCAGAACTAGGGCTTCCACAACTGCTTCCAGAGATGTTCATCTTGCCAAATATGCTTCACACTTCTCTTTGACTAATGACTTACAATCTTCTTTGTTACATTGTTAGTATGCAGTTGTCTTTGGAGACAGCTGAAATACCTGAAATGACAGATCATAGCGCAAGTATGTTTTCATTTATTTTTATGTGATTTGCAATCATGGAAGAAATACATGGCAGCTAAGGTGAAATGTGCAGGTAGGTGGGACGGAAGAGGATCAAGATGAGCAGACAGGATTTCAGTAATTTCGCCTTTGCTTTGTTAGGTGACATCACGTCACTCTGACTCATCGTGACCCCACATGATGGAGTAGAAAGAACTGTCCCACAGTGTGGGTTCAAATGGCTAATTTTTCAGCTAGCAGTCTAGCTAACTGTTGATCCATCCTTTAATGTGGACTTTGAGATAAAATTTCAGGCAATTTTCCTCTTTACTCCTTCTCAAAAGAATTACCTAAATTTAAGTTTACTGATAGATAACCCAATGCTATCTAGCCAATGCAAATCTTAAGCCAACCCATTGCCCTCAAGTCAATTGTCTTACAGTGACCCTACAGGTTACCAAGCCTGCCAATCGTTATGGGAGCAGATAGTCTCATCGTTCTCCTGTGGAGTGACCGGTGGGTTTAAACTGTTGATCTTGTATTAACAGTCAAACGCTTACCCAACATTGACCAGGGATCTTTGATGCAGCTCAACTAACTCTCCCTGCCATTAATCGATTCCAACTAATAATGACTCCACAAGCCAGATTAGAACGGCCCCAGTGGGTTTCTGAGACTGTATCTTCACAGCTGTAGAAAGTCTCATCTTTCACCCTTTTAGCAGCTGGTGCTCTTGAACTACTGACCTTGAGGTTGGCAGGCCAATTGCCCCATAGCGTTTCCAAAGTTGTCTATTTTTATGGCAGCATCTTTCTCCAGGAGGCAAAACCTGCTATCTTTTGGTTAGCAGCCTAGCACTCACCCACTGTGTCACTAGGGCTTCAAGTGAAATTGGAAGGATTCTAATACTGAGAAGTTTGAAATCATCCATGGTCAGAATTCATTTAGCATTATATACATTTTTTGCTTTAGTTATTTCTGGAGTGATGTAGGATTGAACCCCAAACCAATAAAACATCTGAAATATTCCTGATTTACAAGTACATAAAGGACCCTATGCTAGAAAAGATGACTTAGGTAATAATGTGAGAAGCCAAATAGCTTTCTCATAACAAGGTAAGTCAGTGAGCAAAAGATAACTTCAACTACGATGAAGACATATATAATATTTATACAATGAAGGCAATTAGAGTAGTGCTACTTTAAAAAATGTTAGTTATTACCTGGGCAGCCACTGGAGGAAGCAATAGTCTATAAAGTTCAGGCAGAATAATAGATAAGTATTTTTGGTTGCACAAAGTCATGGCAACAATTAAAATGTTGAGTCCAAATCTTTGGACATCCAGCTTTTTACCTTTAACCAGTGGTCTTGGAGTGGGAGAAACTACCATCCTTGCATTCATGGGAGGTCCCCCATATTTTAATGTGTTCTTGAACTAAAGCCATGCACTATTAGCCATATTTAGTTAACTCACTCACTCACTGCCATTGAGTCGTTGCTGACTCATAGTGAGTGACCCTCTAGACAGCCTGAGAGCTTCGGATCCTTGTCTTTCTCCCACCAAACAGTTGGTGGTTTCGAACTATGGTGCTTTGAGGATCGCAACCCAACTGTAAGGACCAGAGCCACTCCCAAAGCAAAATGATTAGCAAGCCTGCTAAACTTCACACCTGCCTCCATTCCCATTGCTAACAGGTGCTGAAACTGACTGCAGTGGTTCTTGTGGTCTCTGATTTAAAGACCACATAAGCAAGTACATTTCTAAAGGCGCAAGTTTATGTATGAACTTATCTGGTAAACTGCAAAGTACTGCAGAAATATCAATACACATTTAATAAACTTCCCAAAATTTAGATCAGGGTGTTTAAAAAAATTTTGTTTTTAGACTGGGAAAAATGAACTTTACTTAAGTTGAAATAATATTCAAAATCAAACTCACTGCCAGCGAGACAACGTAGACTCATAGAGAACCCCTGTGGGTTTCCAAGACTGTAACTGTTGATGGAAGTTGAAAGCTAAATCTTATTCCCGCGGAGCAGCTGCTAGTGGTTTCGAACAGCCAACCCTGCGGATCGCAACCCAATTGATAACCGCTACACCACCAGGTCTCCTTTTTAGATAATAGATTATTGCTAATTTTCTTGGGTATGATAATGCTATGGCAAATTTAAAAAAACATCAAAATCTCCTTATCTGTTGAAGCTATATACTGAGGCGTTCATAGGTAGACAAAGCGGCAGACAAGGCGCTTCCCTGAAAACAAATGCAAGACGTTTTTCCAGTCCTGGCAGAAGTCGAGTCCCTCGCGGGGCCCAGATACAGTGAAGCGGGGAGTAAGTGTACCGCTAGGAGCAAAGACCGGGTGCAGCGCCGGGCACCGCAGGACCCAGGTCCATCAGCTCCGTTCACCAGGCGCCCGCAGGCTTCCCCCGCTCGCGGGGGGGTAATTGGGGGCGGGGGGCGGGCAGGCGGCGGCGTGGACGCATGCGCGAGGCAGCGCCGCGCCTGGTCGCAGTTTCTCTCGCCGGCGGCGCGGGCGGCCACGGAGCCCGACGGAGCCCGAGTGCCTGCGCTCTGGGGCCGCCGCACTGGTCCGGCCCGGCCCCGGCCTCCTCCCTCCCAGGTAGCCCGAGGCCTTGGCGGCCACCCACTCACCCCCCGCCCCCCGCCCGGGAGTCACACCTGTACGCTTAGCGCGCGCGCGCGCCCACCTAGACCGGAAGTAGCGCGGCGCTGCAACGCTGGGGCGAGAGGCAGAGCGTTTCCTCTACTCACAGCGTTCCAAAGCGCCTCGAGATTCGAGAAAGCTCCAACCAACGAGGAAGCGGAGTCCCTCAGAACTGTGGAGACTCTACAGCCGCTCGCTTCTCTTCTCTTTCGTCCCTTTTTTTTTTTTTCACTCCACAGCCAATGGCCCGGCGGGAAACGCGGCCCCTCAGGGCAGCCCGCGCTTTTCCGTGGGAGGGGGAAGCCGGGCTGAGCCGCCGGACCCGCCCGCCGGGAGCCCGTACGACGTCACGCGGGAGTTCCCGCGACGCCACGCCCCTTTCTCCCGCCGCGGGGCTCGGCGCCGCCCCTGGCGACCCCCCGGCGACTCTCGACGGGAGGTCGAAGGACGCGTCTGATGATTGACAGGGCGTTTGTGAGCTGCCCCGGGGAAAACTCGAGCCGTGTGTGTTCTTTGAAAGGTAGCTGGGCAGGGAAAGCGTTATGCGAGTGGCTTTAAATGGAAAAGCCAACATACAACCGATGTGGGACGGTACACGGATAATCGGCATTTTTCTGCCTTCGTGTCTATTACCAACAGTTTAGTGATGTGACAGGACCGAGCTGGGTAGGAGCTCCCTATAGCGAAAGGAAGGAGGCATATTTTGCTGAGGTCAAATTGACCGTTTCTGGTGAACCTGAAAGAAGGAATCGGAAGTAACCAGCATTATTTGTAGGATAACATGCTGTTAAGTAATTTTTTTAAAGGGCTATTTATGATTTTCAAACTGATAGTATTCAAATGTATTCCTGTTTATACTAATTTCTAAGAGAAGCGTTTTGGGACTATGGGGATTTTACAGATGTAGTTGAAGAAAATGAAGTAAACTACAAAATAGTACCTTTTAAACAAGTCCAGTATTTTTCTATGGTATTTTAAAAGCTTAGGAAGATGACAATACAAACTTTTCAAAGTTAAATAGTATTTTAAAATAGTATTTTGAAAGTCAAATAAGTAACCATTTTTTCAGTCAATTCATATTAGTTGATGAGTATTATACTTCTTGAGATTGGACATATCTGGATGTTCATATACCATTCTAGCCACATCATATTCCTATCTTGAGAGGGAATCGAATCTTTATTACTCTTACAGTAACTGCCATTCACATCTAAATTTTATAATATCTAGTAAGTCATGCCACTTTTAAAAGAAAAATGAACTATTTTGCATAACAAAACTCACTGCCTTCCGAGTCAATGCTGATTCATAGAGCCCCCTGGTGAGTTTCCAAGATTGTAAATATTTATGGGAGTGGAAGTCCCACCCCATCTTTCTCCCGCAGAGCATCTGGTGATTTTGAACTGCAGACCATGGGGATCACAGCCCAACTCATAACTACTGCACCTCCAGAGCTCAAAACCAGCCCACTGCCATGGAGTTCATTCCAACTCATAGTGGTTTTATACAGGGTTTCTAAGGCTTTGTAAAGTTTTTTGGAAGCATACAGCCACAGGAGTTATAATTGGCAGAGTGATGCTTTTATGAAGTTTATAGTGGAAATGGAAAGTTTTGTTATAAATGGAAAGGAGTCATGACCAGGTGCCATTTAACAGCGCATTGAAAGAACAGTATGCTATATATAGTATGTAGTTTAAAGAAAAACCAGTAGTCCAGTGACCTAACATGCTCCTCTGCCCTGTGCCAACAGCTCCACTATCCAATGCGTTTACACAAGTCAGAATCCAGAGAATTGGCCTTGACACCTTCTCTCTTAACATCCCTATTCCAATCCATCACAAATCCTGTCAATCTTATTTACCAGATCTCTCTCAAATCCACCCCCTTCATCACGATTCAAGATAACTCTTACCTAGTCTTCTGCTGCGTTATTTTACATACACCCAACCAGTCTGTCTGTGTAAGCCTTTCTTTTCACCAAGTTAGAGGAAACTTGCATTTCCAATTCAGGAGCATATTTAATATTGTTATATCCATGTATTTGTTGAGAGATGGTATATAGTCTAATGAGTAAATTATAAACTCTGGACCCAGTTGCCTGCTTTTAAACTCTGACTCACATTACTAACTAACTGGGGCTAGTTATTTTTCTTACCTGTAAAATGAATCAGTACTAACCTCAAATGATTATGAAGATTATATACAAACTGCTTAGTATTGTATTCAGGTAAAGGGTATATATTTAATAAGTTTTACTCATCATTGGTACTGGAATAATAGGCATTCTAACATAACCTAATTTACTCCCTGTATAACTCAAAAAATTTACTGCCATTGCATCTATACTGACTCATAGCAACCCTGTAAGGCAGAGTAGAACTGCCCCTCTAACTCTTTACAGCAGCGGTTCTCAACCTGTGGGTCACGACCCCTTTTGGGGGGGAGCGAATGACCCTTTCACAGGGATCACCTGATTCATAACAGTAGCAAAATTATAGTGATGAAGTAGCAGTGGAAATGACTTTATGGTTGGGGGGGTCACCGCTATATGAGGAACTGTATTAAAGGGTTGCGGCATTAGGAAGGTTGAGAACCACTACTTTACAGTGTAGAAAGCCCTGTCTATCTCTTACACCAGCTAGTGGTTTTGAACTGCCAACCTAGAGGCTAGCATGCAACCACTACACCACCAGGTCTTCTGGTTTCCTTCCTGTATACTTTTATTTGTTTCTCTTAGAAAATGTTATTTTTTACTGGACTGGACTTAACAGTTAGAAATAGTCAGAGGTTGTAGAATCAAACATACTCTGGCCTCTTTGGCCACTTAATGTCTTGATTCTTAATCTCTTAGGAAAATGGATCTTTACATGTTGTTTCTTTTGTCAGGAATGCTCTACCAAACGTACTCTCCCCTTTTGCCTAGCTATTTACTAATCTTCCTTTTATCTTGCTCCTATAGCACCACGTCACACTATCTTATACTGATCGCAGTTTTGAGTCTTGATTAGTTTGTCATCCCGTTGTTTTCTTTGGTGTCAAAGTCTGTGTCTTGTTCACTGTTTAATCCCCAGAAACCAATTCAGTGCCTGCCACAGAGTCATTATGGATAAATGGCATCATTGGCCATCTCTTACTAGATCCTGTATTTTATGTTAGTGGAAACCTTTACATATACAAAATTCTTAGATTATTTTATGAAGTTCTATAATGATAATTTTAATAGTAGAAATGGTGGGGATACTACTAGATATTTACCCCCAAATGTTGCTTTTAAGACCCTCACAGTGAAACAAACTATAAAATCTCCAAATATCTGCTGAAGAAACATTCTGTACAGAGAAGCAGTTAATCTGAACTTTTTGTGATTATGAAATACACATGTTTTATGATGTAGAACAAAGCTTCTTACACTTTTAAAATCATGGCATATTTAGAATGTTAATCTTGTGATAAAAGGACAAGACTGTCCAGCTGGAGTTAATAGGGACTGGGACTCCAATGACCGCCAGGCCTAGTGCTGCTGCCTTGGGGACTTAAGACTTCAACGTCCCAGCACTTACTTATCAGATATCACTTGAAAACCCTGGTTAGGATGATGAATTTAAAATTTGTGTGATAGCAGTAAAATTATGGGATTCTTAAAAATGTAGGATATGGGAACTAAAACTATTTAAAAATGAAACTTGATTCTACCGCCTATGCTTAATTCCTGTGCCAAATTGGGTAGTTTAATGTTGTGAAGGGAAAATGTCACATACCAGGGTAGGCTGATATCACTAAAATTACATGGTGTCAGACCACGTGTAAGCTATCTGTTAATCCTTAAGATAGTCTTTGTTCAGTACCTTCTCCTATTTCTTTTGGTCTTTTCCAAACCTTCATTATTTTCCTCAAGCCTCTGCAGTGTCCTCAGCAGACCACCTAGCCTCATAAAACAAGAAAGTTAGACCTTGCTGATACTATCTTCCTAAAATTCCCCTCTTCTCAGACCAGTGAATTAGGGAACTTCATTTTGAAGTAAATGTACAACCCCAACCCAATTGCTTCTCGCCATCTCCTTTGCATACATCAAAGTCTAAGCCACTGTCGTCTTGAATCTCTTTATAGCAATAACCAGAGAGATGTTTATCTGAGTGTTATTGACTGCACCAAGGCATTTGACTGTGTGAATCATAGCAGACTATGAATAGCATTGAAAATAATGGAAATTCTAGAGTACTTCATTGGGCTCCTGTTGAAACTGTACATGGATCAAGAGATAGATGTTCAAACAGAACAAGGAAATACTGCATGGTTTAAAAATCAGAAAAGGTGTGCACCAGGGGTGTAGTCTTCAACCATACTTATTCAGTCTGTTGCTGAGAAAATAATCTGAGAAGCTGAACTAGAATAAGAACATGGCATCAGGATTGGAGGAAGGCTTACGAGCAACCTGTGATATGCAGACTACACATCCTCCCTTACTAAAGTGAGGAGGACTTGAAGCCCTTGCTGATGAAGAGCAGATTTAGGTGTTCAATATGGATTACAACCCAATGTAAAGGAAACAAAAATCCTAACGAATGGACCAATAGATAACATCACAATCAATGCAGAAAATATTAAAGTTGCCAAGGATTTCGTCTTGCTTGGACGCACAGCCAATGCTCATGGAAGCAGCAATTTAAAAAATCAAACAATGTATTGCATTGAGCAAATCTGTTGACCCAGACCTCTTTAAAGTGTTGAAGAGCAAGGATGTCACTTTGAGGACTAAGGTGTGCCTTACCCAAGCTATGGTGTTTTCAATCATCTATGCATGTAAAAATTGCACATTAAATAAGGAAGACTGAAGAAGAATCAATGCATTTGAATTATGGTGCTGATGGAGAATGTTTAAAATACTATCGACTACCAAGAGAACAAACAAGTATGTCTTGTAAATAGTACAATCAGAATGCTCCTTACAAGCAAGGATGGCAAGACTTTGTTTCATGTACTTTGGTTATGGTATCAGGAGAGACCAGTCCATGAAACAGTGAATCGTGCATGGTAAAGCAGAAGGACAGCAAAAAAGTAGACAACCCTTAATGAGATGGATTGATAACAGTGGCTGCAACAACGAGCTCAAACAGTGGTGAGGATGGCATCTGTGTCGGGTTTTGTTTCGTTGTACA